ATTGCTCTGCTGCTCGACAGATATTTAAACAGGATGTTAAAAATCTTGTTTCTAAACAGATATTCGTAAGCTGGCAGGGTTATTTATCCAATTTTGATTTTGATATTGAATATATTAAAGGGGAAACTAATTCTTTGCCTGACTTTTTGACCCGTGAATATTTGCAGAAATCCGCACATGACCAGTAGAGGCCATAGAGGTCGAGGTCGTGGCCGGGGTTCTAACCCTCGCTATGATCCATCCGAATATCCACCCCTCTCTCGAGGAGGTCAAACCAGTAATCCAACGGCAAGGGATGTTCTCCTAAGGCCGGAAGACCCGTACACTCCTAACAGTCTTTCTGATGAAACGGTCCTATGGATCGAACCATCAGATGAACAGTGGATGACAGATCCGTGGGAGATTAAACGCCGTTATCTCACCACCCAACAGTCACCCCCTCATTTTGATCAATACAGATATATTTATGAACAGATACTAGTTGAAACTGGCGCTGCAGAAATCAAGCATACTTTGCATGATGCCAATAAAACAGCCAGTCCTATCCAATTCAGTAAAATGGTAATCCGTAATATTATGCCCATTTCTACATGGGGCATTCATCCGCATACTACCCGGGATATTGATCTCCGGAACAAACAGACCAAATACTCTTATTGGGACTATATTGATGCCTTTACTCAGGTATTCTACTACCAGAACCCCATCAAGAATCATTCTTGGTTTATCCGTATCACGTCCGATGTTCTCAAAACCGATGTCCCTTCCTGGTTCCTCGTTTGGTGGGATAAATTCGGACTATCTCTTGACATTTTACCAGAATCAGTTAAAACAGAATTTAATGAATGGCATGTTGCTTATTCTCGTGCCTATTCATATTTAAATAAAAACAGAGAACTTTCTATCAGAAAAGCTATAGTCCATTTTTCTATCCGCTTTAGCATTCCATGGATTTGGAAATGGGACTTTGCCTGTGATTATCAGAATAAAATTCCCCGTTTAAAAAGAATTTATTTTATCAAATGGTGGGATAAAATGGATCTCAAGGATCTTCTTCCGAAAATTCAACAGCATACCAAGGCTTGTTGGGAGTCAGTTAAACAACCAGCCTTACCAGCACCCTCTTCTCCAGTTACAAACCCCTTTGTCCAGATGCAAAAGGAGTTAAAACAGAAGTTCCCTAACCTTTCAGATAATCAATTAATTTTAAAAAGCATGGATTATCTGAAAGAGCAATTTCTTCAATCTGTTAATCCCAAAGATGACACATCCATGAGGTCAGGCACCAGTCATACCCAATCCGAATCAGAGGTCGATCCAACCGACCACGTGTTAGAAGGTGAGTCTCAATCCGAAGATGAAACGGAACCCACTCTTGCGATTTTTGGGATTCCTTTACAGCTGCAGTTGCGGACAAGATGGCTCAAGACAAAAACAATAAAGGAAAGGGCCCCGAGCTTTAGAGCGTCGGCACAACAGGACAAACAACTTTTCAGAAAGCAGATGCTCCATCAGTATCAGGGATAAAGATGTTCCCCACTTCCGCCAGCATCGAAGATAAGACGATAGGTGTAATCTGTCGGTGCAATAGAAGATGTCCACCTGTCCCTATGTAATAATTGTATCTTATCTTCTGTTGTCTATTTAAGGGATGGCCTTCACCCTTGTTGAGGCATTACGAAAATTCTAGTTTTTCTTTTATTTTACTTCTTCCTCTCTTGTAATCTCTCTCACAACCCCCTCTTATAAAATATTTTACTTCCTCAATAAAAGTTTGCTATTCGTGTTTCAATATGTATGCCCTCTGTTAACTTGTTAGAACAGTTATTAACATTTTTAGATTTCTGGCAAACCCAAAAACAGCATTATCTTAACACACCTGTAGATCTTTATACCCAACAGTATATAGCTGAACGTCTTGCCGAGAGTAATCAGAGGATTGCTGAGTTGCAGGTGCTGATCAACGAGAATCTGGTGGCCTGGGCGGCCAGAAGGCCTCCGCCACCCCAACAGTAAAGGTAATATGAGATCATATATGCTCTAATTTGTTTTATTTATGTCATTATTATGTGTGTATTAATTCTTGGGTTTGTGCTTATGAAAGGCTAATTAAATGTTAGGATTAGTGGGACGTCACCCAAGTCGCGTAGGGTTTAGGTCGTGTTGCAGAGAGTGCGTTTGACCATTTCCATATATTCCTTTTTCATTTGGCTAGGGCGAGCTCTAGTTGGAATATATTTTTCATCAAAATCTGGTTCATATGGTAATGTTACAATATACTTTTTACGATTCCAAAAAGCATTCGGAACAGTACCACAGACTTCTGATTGAAATTCTTTTTCAATTATTTTAATTTTCTGTTGAAAAGCAGATTGATTAAGCCTTTGTTCTGTTGTTAAAAAGAGACTTCTTTTTGAATTAAATTTATCTGATTTTGTTTAACAGAAATTAAATCACGAATCTGATCTAATTCTTTAGTATACGGTTGAGTGATAAATTCAAAATTAACTGTTTTTCCCTGTAATTTGGAATAAATACCTGTTGAATCGATTTTCTGGATAGGCATTAAAAGACATAAAAAAGGTGTGCCTAAAATGATATTTGTCGCAAGATTTCTGACTAAGACAAAGGATGTAGGAAGACAGAGGTCTTTATTACAAATATAAGCTTCTGGAATTTTATACCTGATTTGGAGAGAATTTCCACTTGCACTGGTAAGACTCTGGGTAGTCTTTTCAAAGTATCTGGTTGGAACTATACCTTCTTGGATACAGTTCATATCAGCACCACTATCAACTAAGGCAATTGCATCCTTAATGATAAAATCCGGTTTAATCATAAAAGAGATTTTTATGTACCATTTCTGAAAAGTGACTTGATTAACAAGTAATAAATAAGGAGTAGAGGATTCTGGTTCATTTTTGTTAAGATCAAGTTTTTGTTCGGTTTCTTTTTCTTTCTGTTTAGGAATTTGGGTATGCAGATACTTAATATCTTTAATAGCAGCTTCACTGGCGGTTTGCAAGTGTTTGACTTCTGTTTTAAGGACATTAATTTCCATTTTTAAATCCTGGAGAGTAGTAGGTTGTTCGACTACTGATTTAGTCTGAATTCTGTTAATTACTGTTTGAAGATTATAAGAATAATCTGGAATAGGAGGGGTTTCTGTTATTGTTTGTTGGTGTTCATAACACATCTTTAAATATTTTATTTTTATTTCTGGATCCTGTATCTGATCGGCTACAGCAAGCATATCCTTTTGAGTGTCTGTTAAAACATTGATACTATTGGGTTCTCCTAGATTTAAACCATTCATTTCTACTATGGATTTCCAGTAATTGATTTCTGATATTTGTTCCTGATTAGTACTGCAGGGACATGGTTCTTCTGGATCATCTTCATCAGAGGAGGAAGAGTATAACTGGTTAAGCTCATTATCAGAAGGGATTTCATCTTCAGTTGAAATTTCTTCAGCTTCTAAGGCTTGGATTAACTGGTCTTTAATGTCTGGATCAAGGTTTAGTTCATTGACCTTGGATTTAGCTTTAGATCTACATCTATTAGCATAATGTCCTGTTTAGCCACATTTGTAGCATTTAACTTCTGATTTAGATTTTCCTTTTGATTTACTGGTAGATTTCTTTGAATAAAACTTCTTGGTAGGTTTCGGATGGCTAGTCTTTAGGTTAGACTTTTTTCTGTAAGGTTTGGATGACTTTTTATGAACAAGTTTTCTGGTTTTGGCTGGGTACTTAATGCCGGGCTCATAGGCAAACTGGTCACAGAATTCGCCTAATTCTTTTCTTCCTGTTAAGTTTTGTTGTTTCATTTGATACTGGAGTTTGAGGTCATTACACAGAGAAAGACCTTCATCAGTGACAATAGACACAAGTTGTCCATAAGTATACTGCTCATAAGGAATAGACATTCGGTCATGGCGGTCCCGAAGTTTTTTCCTGACCCGTTCAGCAAAGAGGGTAGGAAGGCCATCAATAAATTTGGCTTTCCAATGGGTACTGTTAGCATCGGAGCGTTGGGTAACCTGAAGAAGGAAAACATCCTTATACCAACGGAA